ATTAGCAAGCAACGGGAATTTCAATGTTAGTCGGGAACTATTGTGAACTAAAGACCTAGTTCAAGGAACTATTTCTCTGGAGGAACTAGAACTAAGGAACCAGTTCCTCCCAAGGAACTAATACTCCCACTTCTAGTACAGGGTGGATGTGGATAAAATTGGAAGATTTTAAAGGTATGGACGAAAAGTTGTTACCCTTCAAACTAGTTAAAAGATATGTACGTGGCGCCCTCTACAAGTAGGAGTCATATTGACATCAAAATCAAATTTCTCATGCCAAAAAGAGTCCCAGACACCAATTTTTATCCAAATATTGACGTTACTTCAGAAATTATTTAGAAAAAATCGAAATAAAAATTAAACTTCAACACCCTGTATCTCCGAAACTAAGCCTAAGGACATACATTTATACGACCTTTTTTACTTATTTTTATCATTCAAAATAAGTAAAAAAATGCTGCCGAAGTTTCCGGAGTACAGTTCGGACCACCCTGTATATTAATAAAATACACTCTATTTTTGCGTCAACAGTGTTTGAATTATTTTGATTTAATATATATGCAATCGCTACTAGACGAAATGCATAGTGTCATATAGTGTGCCTTTTTTAGATAAAAAAATGAGTTGTGGTATGTTAGTATATGACATAAATTAGGATTGATTGACGTATTCAATTGTTTTCTGTCACTTCCTGTTTCACCGGAAATGACTACAATTTTTGATTTTTAAATGGCACCCTCGGTATTTTTTTTTACTTTATTCGATAGAAAATGACATTCTAAATAGAATGACGTATCATATGTCAACTTTTGACATATTCGCTTAAAAACAAATTGTATTTTAAATTTCAATCTAGAGCGCCATGGCTGTGTTAAAAACGCTAATTTTTAATCAAGGAGCCTTGGAAAAATAGATTTGATCGTCTAATGTTTTTAGTGTCTTGCTCTGGCCGGTTAAAAAATGCCCAAATTGTATTTTTGATCATATCTCAATTTTTTTCAAATGGAACGAGGGTGGATCATTAGCATATTTCGAAAAAGAATTTTTTTACGAATTATTTGATACCACACACTTGGTACTTCGAGTCAAATTGTCGTTATGAACCGCATGTTATAATTTCAAATAAACCATATGCGAAAATGTCAAAAGTTAACATGTGATATGCCATTCTATTCAGAGTGTCATTTTCTACCGAATAAAGTAAAAAAATACCGAGGGTGCGATTTAAAAATCAAAAGTTGCACTCATTTCCGGTGAAACCGGAAGTGACCGAAAACAATTGAATATGTCAATCAATCCTAATTTATGTCATATACTAACATACCAAATCTGGTTGTTTTATCTGAAAAAAATAAAAAAGTTATAGGGGTGATCCACTTTTGAGACGCACCCGGTATATTTATCCGTTGCGTATCTGAGGGTGCAGCCACACTATCCTAAAAACGGCGTATCGGCGTAACGGCGTAATGACCTTGAATAAATTTCCAGTAATTCTATTGGCTGAAACATTCATCTGTCAGAAATTTTATCTGTCAAATTCATCTGTCAAAAATTTCAGCCAATAGAATTACTGGAAATCTATTCAAGGTTATTACGCCGTTACGCCGATACGCCGTTTTTAGGATAGTGCGGCTGCACCCTGAGAGACAAAATTTTACGACCTACATCGACAATGCTTCGAAATAAACTAAATCAGGCGACAGTGTTGCCAGACGAAAATATGCAATATCCGTATTTCGTTGGTCGAAATATCCGTAGATGAATAAAAAAATCCGTATTCATACAGGGTGAGTTTTAAATAAGTGCAAATATCTTCAGGGCTGGTATATTTCGACCCCAGGAACAGGTCTATGAGGTTTTTCGGAGAAAATGTGATAAAAATCGTACACTTAAGAGGGGTGCAAATACAGAAATTAATAAAGAAAGCTCTCAAAATTTTTTAAAAATATATATTTTTTTTCAAATTCTTAAACTTGAATAACTCAGTTATTTTGGACTTATTTGAAAAACGGTAAAGAGAAAATATGTTATCGAGATCTACCACCCCTGAAAATATTTGTACTTATTAAGACTGACCCTGTATTTTATTGATCATTAAGTAATTCGTGTTAAACATAAAATAAATATCAAATATAAACATTTTGAAAATAACAGAATATTACTACTCTGCAATATCTACGTATTAGCTACGTAGTATTACATGTACAAGAATAGATGAGACAAACAAGTTTTGCAAAACCTACAATTTTTTATTATTATAAAAATATGATCCGATGGGCAAAATATCCGTTATTATGTCTTTGTATGATTAGTATTGTCGATTAATCGATGGTAATAGATAAGATTTCTAATTTGTAAATATTCTTTTATGGGTATGGGTACCTACTGCATATTTTGTATGATAAAAGTCGTTTAGTGGCATTTAAGGCAACTGTGACGCTTTTCTTTTTTAATCATATAATATTATGTTAAATTGTTCAATAACAGAAAATCCGTATTATTGCAAAAAAATCCGTACGTCCGTAGAATATATCCGAAATGCGTCAATCTACGGATTAATCCGTAGTTCTGGCAACACTGTCAGGCGATCAAGCGAATCGCTCGCCGCTTACTACTTGCCGTTCATTACGGAAAGAATATGTGCCCTGCGCACGCGGCTTACTGCTTGGCGCTTGGCGTTAACGAGTACTTACAACATGCGACGGACAAAAAACCGTCATTTTAAATGCGAACGATATTTCGCTCGAGTGATCACTCGGTTATTGCAATCGCTTGATACTCGAGTACTCGATTATTGAAATTAATTGGTTTTTTCCATCACTACTTAAAACGGACATTATAAGGGAACTGCAGATCGCACAATGCTCATTGGAGCGAAATACGCTGGGAATAACCAAGAAAGACCGTAATAGAATAGAATATATTAAAAGAAGAGTGGATACGACAAAAGACCCAGGTAATATCTACATGTCATCCACAGAGTCAAATCCCTCAAGGGGCAATCGGCAGGACACCTGGCAAGGAGGACGGACAACAGATGGACTAAAATTTACAGCATGTTACCCACGAGGAAGTAAGAGACCTAGAAGAAGACCAAACCTGGGACCATGATATCAGGAAATTGATAGGGATAACTAATTGGGCTCGCATAGCCAACAATAGACAACAATGGGGCCAACTACAAAGAGAGTCTCTAAATATGTGAGGGAGGCTACACCATAATTTGAAATGGTTGAATAAGCTGAAGATGATGCTGATTTTTTCTTAACTTTCTGAGTGTCTTTTTTATTTTTAATTCAATTTCTTGGAAAAACCTTACAACTTCTACATTTAAAGATTTTATTAAAACAAATAGATAAGCCTAAGCAGGTATGAGACTAAATATCTCCGAAAATGCATTGAACAATTATTTAAAAATGAAATAATATAAACAATATAAAATGATCAAGTTGACTAATATTTATTGACAGTATTATTTGGAAAATTTCGATATATCTGACTCTGTATTTATACTCCTTGTGATATGTTTATCAATACATGAATATGTTTCTGATTAGAACCAAAATGAATTAAAATTACATTTTTAACTCTTATAAACCTTCGTTCATTGTCGACTTAATGATTTAGCTGAGCTTGATGATGGGTGCATAGTTCTAGATAGTTGTTGGGAGGATGTAATCCTATGCTTAATTTAGACTTTAAGCTGATTATAGTGATAGCTGTTACAATATTCTATTATCTATTATTTATTACACACTTTCCGATTTTACATAGGATTTTGTTTAATCTTATGTAGGTATGTATTTGAGGGGGCGATTTTTTAAGATTATTAGGAAATTATTATTTGATTACTGAATATTTATCTGGCTTAAAAAATAACAGAACAATTCGTAACCCCGAAGTTGAAAAAAAAAACAACTGGGTAAACTTGTTTAAAATCAATCACAAACATCAGTTTTAATTATTGCTGATGATGCCAACATGGTCAGCGAAACGCGCGTTCAGTGTTGAAAGTAAAATGTTTTGGTGTATTATGGCGAATTAGTGTTTTTATTTTGCTTTTTTATTTAATTTGCACATACAGCATAATTATCAAATAGCTCCAATCCAGTTCAGCTGTGTAAATAGTAATCTCATATAAACAATATTACTTTCGGTACAAAACAAAGATGCCTAAGATAAACAAACCAGATATAAACAAAAAAGTGCTAGGTTATTACTTTTCTTAATATCTATAATAATAACAGGAGTAATTTTACAAATTTGTAGCTACCCTGTGTAATTAGGGAATTACCTGCTGTTATTGCTAAAATATTAAAAAGACAATTAATTCTTTTATACTTAAGCTTCATTCAGAACCTCGCAATTAGTGGAATAAATTAGTAATTTCAATTACACTTTATACATGTTAGTTTACGACCATTCACAATGTTTGAAAAACACAATTAAAATTAATAGAATATCCTAGCAACAACTTGCGGTAATCAGCTGTATCCATAGATAAAGCTTAATATTTATCTTATAAAACAATAAAATTTTGATTTCTAACCACATTTTTCTCTTAACAGATGATAATCAAATGCCAAAATGACGTTCTTCGCAAATTTTGAAGTATAATTAGTGGAAAATTTGAAAGTTTGTTAGGTAAGTTTTTCCACTAATTGAAAATTCCTACCACTAATGTTGACGTTCTGAATGCTTACATTCAAATTAGAGGAACAAACTTCTACGCTAATTGGAACCACTAATTGCGAGGTTCTGAATGAAGATTTAGTTTAACTGTTTTTATATATTTTAATTTTACTGATATTTAGTCATTTTTCAGACTAATATTTATTAAGACCAATAATATTTTTGAGTGAAAGTGAAACTAATAATTTTGCTTACTTTGAAACTAATAAAGATAAATATCAGAAAGAAGAGAATTTGAAAAATGCAGCATTTGATAAAACCAATTTTGAAGTAGGTTTATTTGTATTAATAAAGATTGTTTGTTTCAGCTGTCGTTGTGCGATATCTTACCAAGAGGTATATAGGAGAATACAGTTCTACAAGTGGTAAGTCTAATTTGAAATTGTACTAATCAGTAGTTTGGTTTGGTCTGGTTGGATTTTTACAACGCTTTTAGATGGAGGGGACCATCCGCGCGAATGTTTTTTCAAGATAGCTCATCCGGACGGAGCATACGCGACCCATGTGAAATTGTTCATTTAAATTCAAGGAACTGGCGGACGGTACGCGCGGACGCTCTGCTCCATCTGAAAGCGCTGTTATTTTGCTATTACTTTTTATCTATACTAAGCAGTAGGTACATAGTGTAAATAGTACTATCGGTTTTTTGTCATCTCTTTATATTCATTTAGCTCCTCGATTAGCTTCCGATTTTCAGCACTATGAGTTTTTTTTCCCTATGTACTACTTTATGCATAATCAAGGGTACTATACTGACTTATAGTTGAGGGTTGAAACCTTTGGTGTTACCAACCAAACCAAACCAAACCAAACAGCAAATTAAAACACTAGTTTACCACAATACACCAAAACACTTTACTTTTGCACTGGACGCGGGTTTGGCTAACCATGTTAGCATCATTAGCAGATGATTAAAACTCTGCTGATGATGCCGACACTGTTAGCGAAACGCGCGTCCAGTGCAAAAGTAAAGTGTTTTAATGTATTGTGGTGAATTATGGTAACTGTCCTAGTTATCGTCACATTAAGGGAATATCTCAGTTCAGTTAGCTATAAAATCCGAATTATTAGTATAAGGATTACAAGAAAATTACACTAAGGGATATTTTTATTTAATATTTAAATAAAACTTTAATAACTTGACCGATATTTTCGCTTTTTATTTTTATTCGTCGATATTTTCACTTTTCCCAATTTTCGTCATATCTTTATATGTGTTATTTCACACAAAAAACATTGTTTTTACAAAAGTTTATTTAGGAAATACGACATATTGCAAAAAATAAAACATAAACAATTAAATAATTAAAAAAAATAAGCATACAAAATAAAATTTTAATTAAGAATATCTCGGATATCAGCTCAAAAATAATAGTGTAGTAATAATTAGTGAATACAAAGTATTAAACATTTTTATAAAAAAAAACAGTAACATCATATTAGTAAATAAATACCTTTTAATTAGTAATTAAACTTTTAAGCTGAGAAATTAGTTTTACTGTGGCATATCAGTTTAACATATAATGTCAGGTATATCAATAAGATATTAATATCATAATCAGGTATATCAAAAACATCTCTTTTCTTTTTTTTAGTTTTTGTAACAATATTCCTTTTAATATAGTCCAAAATATCTTCCGAACCCTAATATTTCGCATTTTTAAAATCACAGGTATTTTACAGGAAGCCTATATTAATATGGCTTACATTTTAATGGCCTAAATTCCGTCGCAGACATCCAGTTTTCGTGATCCATTTTTAATTGATAATTTAAGGTAGAATTAATGATAAAAGTGGGTGACGAAAATTGGTCACATTAAATAGCGCATCATCATACTGCCATTTATAGAAAAAAAAATATTGAATTACAGAAAAATTAGTTTTATACTGAATAAAATATCTTTGCCTACAATGGCCCAATCTTCGTCAATGGTGACGATAATACGGCACGTTCCGTTGCGACGTGTCCCGAAAACCGTCACCCACTTTTTTTATTCATATTATAGAAAAAAGCATACTTTTTATATGAATACGTGTAATAAAAAACCTTTTACACTAGTAATTAATTATATTTGAACCTTAGTATACTAAATTACATTATTGTGAAAGAAAATCAGGAAGACTGTTGCTCTGCGTAGCTTATAAGAAATGTGTGGATTCTCGTCAACGTCTAACTTCTAACTAAGCTGAATAAATTAGGCAAAGAAAACAAAGTCCTCCTACACTGGGTGCCTGCTCACCAAGGGATAGAAGGCAATGAAAAAGCAAATAATCTAGCTAGGAAAGGAGCGAACACTCCACTAACTGGACCAGAACCGTTCTGCTTTCCAAGTGGTAACCAACTCAAGGCGGAACTCAAGAACTTGGAAGATTCCATCCGCAACCTGGAATGGAAATCTTGCAATGGTCTAAGACACTCGAAGAAGTTTCTGAGGGCTTATGATCAAGAAAAATCACAGATCTTCCTGGGTCTGAGTAAGAACAATCTTCGGATTGTCACGGGGTTTTAACAGGACACTGTCTCCTCAATGAACACCTCAGTAGATTGAAACTAAGAAGAAACGGCGAATGCAGATTCTGTGGGGAAGATGGGGAAACACCAGTACACCTCATCACTGAGTGCGCCGAGACGACAACCATTCGTGCCATGAATTTTGGTACGACTGATATTGGAGATGGAGAACTACCCTCTATAAAACCGTCCCAGATACTGGCTTTTGTCAAAGCCCTGGGACTGTATGATGAGTTATGATTCAAGAAAGGGGGACACAATGGATCTGTAAGGTCGAAGTGATTAACCCCCCTCCCACTCATTCTAAATTCTAAAAAAAAATTCTAACTTCTAACTAAAATAGTCGTTATTCCACGTAAATGAAGTGCGCCATTTAAAAAAAAATATGTATTGCAACGTTTCCAAATATATAAACAACTATTTCTTAATTTCTTAATTTTTTAAAAAATATGGGAATATGACGAGAATTAGGACAGTGACGGTAACAGGGCATTTACAATAGTGCTTTATTTTGCTACTATATACTGACTAAAAAAGTGCCTACAGAAAACTGACTATGCTGTTGATAACAAAGTTAATTTTCTGGTCAGTACATTTATGTTATGTATATAAGCATAGTTCTAAAATTATATTGCGAAATAATAATAATTAGCCATAAACTACCAAACAAACACATTTGAATAATTAAATTATATTTCAAATGAATAACAACTCATTTCTGGCTCATAGCCTAAATCATAAAACTACATAAAATTACCGGGTATATTTTGTTTATTGCCTATAAATTAGCATAATTTATTTATGCATTTTATCATCTTTACTACCACCGGTGATTAACATTGTTGCTCTTTAAAGGTTACTAACCTTCGCAATTTCGTATCAACGCTATAGTAAATATAGAGAAATTATAGGTAGTAGAGAGCTCAAAGGTTCTATTATCTGATTATGTCCCCTATTAAACGTTGCATAATTCCACTCAAATTATTATTATCTATGTGATATTGAACCGCCTGCTTGTTTAAATAACGAATTTAATGATTTATTATGTCTCTATTATTTTGTTTAGGTATCCCGAAGCGACAGATCGCGTTACGTAATATGTAACATAAACCGTATCGGTATAGCCTGTAATTTTACGATAAACTGTTCTTGTATTATTACTCTTTTTCTACATTTTATATTTAAAAATTTAGTTTTTTTCTTGTTTCATCATCAAATAATTAACAGTTAAAACAGTTTACCTTCGTTTATTATTAAAGTGACATAAACATAACTTACTGTAATACATTTACTTTTTTAACTAGAGTTGCCAGAGTCCTTAATACTGGACTTAGGTAAGTTGTCCCGAATCCCGAAAAAGTCATTATACTATCACAGAAAGCGACAATCAAATGTTATAAAGTTCACAAAGTAAAAAAATATACACTTATGCTATACAGGGTGAGTCTTAAATAAGTGCAAATATTTTCAAGGCTGGTAGATCTCAATAAAAGAAACATATTTTCTCTTTGCCATTTTTCAAATAAGTCCAAAATAACCGAGTTATTTAAGTTTGAAAATAAAAAAAAATGATTTTTTTGGAAAAATTTTGAGAGCCACCGAATTATTTTCTGTATTTGCATCCCTTTTAGTGCCGTAATCATAAAGAAAAGCTGTAACTATGGTAATATCAGAAATTAAGAAATTATACCGTGGGAAAATTTGCAGTGAACAGGCAGTTCTAAAAAGTTTTTGAAAAATATACAGGGACATTTAAAAAAAATGCACGATTTTCAACATCTTTTTTTGTAAAAAAAACCTCATAGACGTGTTCCTGGGGTCGAAATATACCACCCCTGAAAATATTTGCGCTTATTTAAGACTCACCCTGTATACTGGGTGTCCCAATATTCCGTGGACATAGAACTAGTACGTATTTTTGGAAGGTTTGGAATTTTCAAAATAAGTTCATTGGACACAATTTACCTCTATACAAAAGTGCTTTGTTTATCCGCTAGAGGGCACCAAACTTTCAAAAAATAAACACATTTTTTCAGATGTTTTAAGAACCGTTATTCCGATATGAATGAGATTTTGGGTGTCTATATTTTGCTAAGTGCTTTAACATTTGACTTTCACAAAAATCAAGAAAAAGTATGGGAAGGGTGAAAACTACCCTCACCCCTACATAAATTTAGTATAAATATTTTCCAACTTCACCGACGACTGATTTTTTTTTTCGTAAAATAATGCTTCTAGTATTTACTATATTTTTATCTAAAATAAATGCCTTTATTGTCAAAAAAAATTGACAATTTGTAGACAAAGGTCAAGTAAACAAACAAAAGAGAATACAAAACAAGTATGAAAATTACATTATCAGTCCTATTGTTTAAAATAAAACATTTATAAATGTTTACAATGTCAAAGAATAAAAAAATAAAAATAAGATTCAAAAATATTTAGTAAGTTTATAGTAAATATAGTTTTTTTCACATAGTAAATATAGTTATAGTTATCTCATGTAGAAAAACGGTATATCGTTTTTAAGAAAAAATTTTTGGAGAATTTATTTTTCCAAAGCAGACCTACAAAATATACAGGGAGTTCTAATATTCCGTGGTTCTAATATTCCGTAAAATAACTACGTATTTTTGGATCAAAATAAGTTAATGTCACATAATTTACCTTTATACAAAAGTGTTTCGTTTGTCCGTTAGAGGCTTAATTTTTTTTTAAGCTTATTATGAAATATAATTTGTGATACTAACATAAAATTCCATATTTTACCAAATAGATTATTAGAGCATAATAGATTTTATGCGCCTCCATAGATCGATGTGACAAAAAAAACATTTTTTGTAAGTCAGCTTT